CTGCGCTTTGGGTAACTCTTGACTGGGCACTCGAGGCCGTATTCTTCAGCTGCCAGGACATCTGTCCACCTGTCAATGAGTAGGTCTTGATCAGCTTGGAGCTGCTGCTTCTTCTTCTTCAAGCTTCTTGTAGTGGCTATTAGCTGGCGCTTGAAGCGCTCCTGCTTGAGGGGTGCCTCAGGCACGATGAAGTCCTCATTGCCGAGGTTCTCATCATCCTCGGAGACTGGACAATAACTATCATCATCTGGGTCATTGGGCGTGGCCTGTTTATCAGGGTTATCTTGCCCGCTGTCTTGTTCCTCCTGTTCGGATGCAGCCCTGACAGGGTCTTCATTGTTTTCGGTGTCGCCCGGAGTACTATTTTCTCCGGTGCCAGTGTTGCCATCTTTTGAGCGACGAGGCTTAGAGCGGCGTTTAGGGCATCGGCGCTTGGACTGTGTCTTAGAAGGTTTATTCGCAACTGGATCTTCTTTGTCATCGTCGCTAGCTTTTTTAGGTGTGTCGACCATGTACGCATCGTACGGAGAGGTGGCCGTCCAACATCCAGTAAATGGCGGGTCTTGGCCTTGCTCCTTGTCGGCATCGTCGTCCATACCGTCGATGTCTTCGGAGCCGTAATCAAGCACGTCGGTTAAGTCATCGACAGTGGCTATGAAGTGGGTGGCGGGTGGGAAGCGAAATTCCCCATCATCAGCCTCTGGCTCGAACCGAACTATGAGTCCTTCTCCAAGGACAAGTTCTATAAATAGTTTAGCACATCACCCAAAGGTGAGTGCTGGAAGATGTTTGCGGCGCTAAATTCGAAAATCAATAACCGATCCAGCTCGGTGTCCGCAGGCGTACCTGGTCCGGAACTTATAGCTGGAGACGAGTCCGGAGTTCCATTGACGCAAATATTGCGGGGTCCGTGTGCGGCTCCAACGCCGCGGACTCTGTAGCCTCGGATGGCACGATCTGCTCCGGTTCTAAGGCCGTTGCAGAAACAAGGACCATCTCCTGGATGTGATCCGATGACAGATTTAAGTCATGTTCATCGGGGCGAGGGGGAGCGATCGTTGCGGTCTCAAATCCATTGAAGATCAAGTCTCCATGGATATCTGTGACGTAGTTCAAGCTTCCAAATCTGACCTGGTGGCCATGGGCGTAGCTATCAATCTGCTCCAGATGGCTAAGCGAGTTGGCCTGCAGTATGAAGCCGCCTAACACGAAGATCTTTCCGGGGAGGAAAGTCTCTCATTGGACAGCGTCACTGTAGACGATTGAAGGGGCCATCAAACCTTTCATTGACGGCACAATGAAACTCTCAATGAAAGCACCAATGTCGGTGTCAAAACCGGCGGATCTCGGGTAGGGGGTCCCGAACTGTGCGTCTAGGATCGATGGTAACAGGAGACGGGGGACACGATGTTTACCCAGGTTCGGACCCTCTCTATGGAGGTAATACCCTACTTCCTGCTGGATTGATCTTGATGAATATGAGTAGTACAAGAGTTGATCTACCACGAGATCGTAATGGCTAAATCCTAGAAGCCTAGCCTGTATGACTATGGTAATGAATGTCCTTTCCAGACTAACCCCTCCGGTTTATATAGACACCGGGGGGATCTAGGGTTACATAGAGTCGGTTACATAAGAAGGAATCTTCATAGTCGGTCGCCAAGCTTGCCTTCCATGCCAAGGAGAGTCCAATCCGGACATGAGTATAGTCTTCGGCCTTCATGTCTTCACAGCCCATCAGTCCAACCCATGGATAACAGGCCGGACGCCCGAGGACCCCTTAGTCCAGGACTCCCTCAACGACGGAGAGGAAATGTCCACACATAATGGAAAAAATCATCCAATATCACCAAAATAGTATATGTAACCCGTGTTGCTTGTAGCCGGGGACGTCCAAACATCACTATGCAATAACTGAAGCGGAAAAGTGGAAATGTTTGTAGACTCGCTAAAGAGAAGACGAACGTGCTTACCGAGACGGCAGGCCTCACAAGTGTGGTTGTCAACCTTATTACATGAGAAGGAAAACTCTATAGAATCTGATGCAAAAATTGTGGAGTTGGGATGACCGAGATGGGCGTACCAAAGATCGACGCTAGCGGCAAGGGCGGCTGGATGGGTGGTGGTGGCGGCGAAAGGATGCACCGGGTAGAGCTTGTTAGGGCTATCACATCGGTGGAGTACCATCCATGTACGGGCGTTCTTCACAGAAAAGCCAACATCGTCAAATTGAACAGTAATAGGGTTCTCACGAGCAATGCGACGAACAGAGACAAGGTTGGTAACTAAGTCAGGAGAGATGAGAACGTTAGACATGTTTATAGGAGTAGAAGTGGAAGGAAACAGCATATGACCGACATGTGTAATGGATAAAGAGGAACTGTTACCAACGGTGATGCGAGTGGGAGTATGAACGGGAGTGGATGACGTGAGGTTACCGGGATGAGATGTCATGTGAGCAGTGGCGCCCGAGTCCATGTACCAGTCACCGCCACCACCATAGTTGCTAGGTGACAGAGCCGAGTGTAGAGCGGCGAGCAGGGCGGGATCCCACGACGCCCACACCCGGGGCGGGTAGTACCCGCCATAGGAAGGCACGCGGGTGACACCATAGCTCGGCGATGAAGGGAGCACCGGGTAGGGTCGGCGCCGGGCGCGACAAAGTACACCTGATGGCTCGTCGGACGAAGCCCAAGGATGCCTGGGGCAGGAGGCCGGGGAACCGGCATCGAGTATGCGTGAACGATGCCCGTCCACGGATTGGTGACGTAGGTCCATGGTGGAGTCGCCTGCTGCTGACGAGCCCCCGGTGTGCCTGTCCATGCAGCTGCTGCTTGTGCCCGCCCCCGCGGCGGTTGCCGCGCCGACCACCACCCTGCAGCTGCTGCTGAGGGGTAGCGGGAGGGGCGAGGGCGCGAGCGGGAGGGGGAAGAACCCCTGGGGAGCGGGGGCGTGCGCTGCCGACGGGGCGCGGTCGGGGCGGGTGGCGACGGGGCGCCGCGAGAGGTGTGGGCGGCGAGGATATGGTGGTGCACGCGCTTCTTCACCCCCTTCATCTCGCGCTCCTCCAACCGCAAGTACGCCACAAACTTGAGGAAGGAGGGCTCCAGCATCAAAGTGAGATTGGAGGCGGCATTGCCAAAGTCCTCGTTGAGGCCGGCGATGAGCATGCTGAGGAGGAGGTCGTCATCAACCTTGGCGCCGATGTCATCGAGTTCATCCGCCAACGTCTTCAGGTGGCGGCAGTAGTCATCGATCCACTGTTCATCTCGATGACAGTCAAAAAATTCCTGCTGCAGAAAAAACACGGCGCTGAAGCTTGTTGTTGGCGAAGAGGCCGTTGAGCTTAACCCACACAGCGCGGGCATCATCACCATCGCTCACGACCGCGTGAAACAAGTCCTTGGAGATGGTGGTGAAGAACCACCGGATGAGCGTAGCGTCGATCACGGTTCACTCGGAGTCGCCCACCATGGCGCGGGAGTCGATGGTGCCGTCAACATGACCCACGAGATTGTTCTGGCGGAAGAGTAGCGAAAAATACGCTTTTCACGCGAAGTACGTGGAGTCGGTGGCATCGAGGACGACGGGGATGCGTTCGTGGATGTTGATGTCGCGGATATCAACGGGGTCCGACCCGACGAAGGGGCTGGAGTAGGTGGAGGCGTTTGACGACATGGCGGCAGCACGGGGGTGAGGAGGGGCGGCGACTAGGGTTGGGCGGGGATGGTGCGGCGCGGGCGGCGGCAGCTAGGGTAGGCGGAAGCGATTAGGAAGAAAGGATCGGGATGGTATCTGATATCATGTAGAATTAATTGTGTGTATCGATATGTTTTCATTGATCGTGCACTAGACACATATATATGTACAAGGGATGTGACCGATGTGTTGTCTCTTAAGATACAAGTAAATACAGAGGAAGAGAGACACTACATGTGCGACATACAAAACCCGGATCTACGTACGTGTACACACGTTGAACAGGGACGAGTGCATGTTCTTCTGTAGCAAACATGAGAAGCACGGCGGCTAGGCCTGGCCTGATAGTGGTGGTAGCTGCATGCATGTCAGCATGTGTGATGAAACGTGCTGCCTTTGACCTGTGGTGTGCTCTGCTGTGCTGCTGTCTGCGGCCGAAGCCTGAAACTGCTACAGTGAAAGCAAGTAAAGCCTGCACTGCACTATCCACGCAGGAGGCTGCTTGCAATGCATGCAGTCTGCCGTGGAAGCTGATGATAACCTGAAACCACAGACCACCGAGCCCCGCGCCACCTCTGTGCTCGCTCGCTCGCGGATTCATGGCTATCCATGTTGCCTGTTGCATCTGCTTCGTACCGTTGCCTCTTGGAATCTAATGCGCCCAGACTACGAAGGACATGAACGTACCACCACATGCACCGGTGGAAATTAGTTCACGCTCCGGCCGAGACGCCTAACTTCACGACCCAACTTGGATTCATTTTAGTACTACTCCTCGGGACTCTGAGATTGGTTAACAGCTACTAACTGTAGACGCTAGCTGATTTAATGTGGGTTGGGTTGCTTTTTTTTTTTGAGTGTGGGTTGGGTAGGTTGGCGAAAGAAACACGTAGGAGTACGATCGAATTCAAACACCATTCGCTATCGGCCAGTCAAGGCGAGAAAAAGGCGTCACGGAGCAGGAAAACTGAGCCATAGTGGCCAGCAGTAGAAACCGGACGCAAAAGCAGGCAACGCGACAAGGGCCAGCCAGCGAGCACCATTTCCATTTCCTCGCAACCTCACCCCTCAACGCACCACCGCACAAGGCCGACCGCATTGATGGACGGACCGATCGCTGCCGCTGCCCGCCCATGCCGCGGAAGAAAGCGATGCGACCGACCCGGGCCGCGCCAAAACGAGCCACCGCTCTCTTTTTTCCTGGCTTTTCCCTTGCCCGCTGTACAACCGTCCGAAAAAGGAAACGCGCGTACGCTTGCGCCTTGCCTTGCCTTGCCTACCCGAGCGCTCTGCGCCCTACCCTACTCTACCTCCAGCGCGGGCCCGCCGCCGGTCAGCAGCTCCACCAGCCACTCCTCGTCGACGAGCTCCGCCATGTCCGCGTCGTCGTCGTTGCCGTCCGCCGCCGCCGGCTTGGTGGTGTCGTTGTTGGGCTCGGGCCACGGCCAGGGGATGGCCGTCGGGGGCGGCGGGGCGCCCGCGCGCGTGTCCACGGAGGCCATGACGGTGGACGCCGCGGCGGAGAAGGACGGGCCGCAGCTCTCCTCGTTGCCGTTGATGGTCACGAACCCGTCGTCGCCGCCGCCGGGCTTCCCCGGCGAGGAGGAGATCTCCAGCTCCAGCCACCGCATCACCTCCTCCACCGACTCCTCCGCGATGCCCTCGTACTCCTCCCCCTCCCCCTCCTCCATCTCCGCCTCCTTCCAGGAGAAGCCACCACCTCCCTCGACGAGCCCCGCCTCCCCGCCGGACACCAGGGCCACGGCCTCCCCGCCGCGCTTCCGCTTCCTCACGCCGGCGGCCTCCTCCTCCTCCATCCACCCTACCGGTGCTCCCACAGGCACAGCAGCCGACTCAGAGGAAGGAAGGGAACCGCCAAGTGGAACTGAAAGCAGAGGTGGAGGAGGAGGGGAGTGAGGCGTGGTGGTGGATAGCGAGCGCGGTGGAGCGTCCACGTGGGTTTATATAGGGCGGGGGGCGGGACGTCGCTGCGCGGCGCGGGGCCGTCGGATCCGCCTCGGGGGCGCGCATCCGGCGGCCTCGAGGCGTTACGCGAGGAAAAGGACGTGTTCGCGCTGCGTGGCGTGTGGCGCGTAGCGCGCTCTCCCCTGGGGAACCGCGGCTTTTTTGGACGCGACGGGTGGGGAAAGAAACCCTTTCTTTCTTCCTTCGTCGGTGCTGTTGACCGTCGTCGCTCGGTGGCTCGGCCCGTGGTGGATGGTGGATGGGGCGTGGGTGGGTGCCAGTTGGGCTCTCGCCAGAAAACGAACCCCAATCTCGCGCTCGTGACGGAGGCGAGCGCAGCAGGCCCAGAGCCCCAGGCCGCACAGCCGCTGTGGCTTGTGGGAGACGACGGACGGACGGACGGACCGCGGGGGTTCGGGAAGCATTTCTCTGGGTCGTGTATTGATTGTGGCCAGCTGGCGTGTGTGTGTGTGTTTTGCTCTATCTGCGGCGGTTTTCGTTGGCGCCTTTGGTGTTGCCAAAAGCTGCGGGGCTGTTTTGGACCGTCGCCGATCTCCTGCATGCCGTCACCTTCGTGTCTTGCACGACAAGGATTAGTCGAGATTAACCTTGTGAGCTGTACAGGCGCGTTACCCTTTCGGTTAAGTTCCTTCCGGGAGAGGTTTTACACGAGTGTCAGACGAGCGCGCACGTCTATCTCTTGTTTTTTTTAAGAAAGAAGCTGCACACCGGGGATGGAAAGGAAGCGAGCAAGAAAAGGGTTTCTCTGGGGCAACTGGACTACTGGGTTACTGGCCCAGTGGCAGGCCTATCCGGCCCAATAAGAGTCTACCTGTTTTTTTATATCGCAAGCTGAATCTACTTGTTAGTTCTAAGAGAAAACTACTATTTGTTGGTGTTTGTTAGCACATGGGAATTACTACCTACATCCTGGTTTATTGCTCCCCTTGGTATTCTGTGTCAAACTTTGACCGTGGATATAATTAACAAAATGTTAATGCATGTCACAAAAATTAGTATCATTGGAAATTATTTTCAAATATGAATCTAACGATGTAATTTTTAATGGCATGCATTTACATTTTGTCAGTTAAATATATGATCAAATTTTGATACAAAATACGAAGAAGACCAGTAAACCAGGATGGAGGTAGTAGAGAAAACAAAGAATAAATGGGTGGAAGGACAACGACTATCAACGGTGGAAAAGGAGGTTACCCTTAAATCCATTGCACAAGGTAAACCATCATATGCAATATTCGGACCAAAGAATCATGCAAGCAATGTCACACTGGTAACAAGGGATGGTGTCAATTAAATAGCAATGATTGGTTCACCTGGTAATTTGTGTGCACCAAAGCGGCAAGGAGGCATGGGTTCCATGATATTAACTATTTCAATTTTGGCTACTGCTGCTTGGAGAATATATGGTAACCAAGATCCCCTCTGTGCAACAAAATCATGACACAGATGTTTTTTGGATGGTGACTTTTTTGAGCATCAGTACAGAGATTGCGTTGAGGAAACATTCATGTGGCAGACCAGCATAGCCGGCGTCGATAACATTAAACGAGCACCCCTCCGCGTGTCAGCACTAAATGGGCCAACCCACCGCTTGTCGGATTTGCGACTAGTTTTTTTTACTTTGACCCAATTTTCTATTAAAATACTACCAGATTTTTATAAAATATTCATGAATGTTGAAAAAATTGTAAACTTAATTTTTTTTCAATATTTTGAAAATTTTCCTTGAATCTGGAAAATATTTGCAAAATAAAATAATGTTCGAAATTTTGAGAAGTTACTTGTGGTTTTGAAAAATGTTCTTGAATTTGAAAAAAAAGTTGCAAATTTTAAATGTTCATCGTTTGAAAAAATTGTTGAATTTTAAATATATTCACGAATTCAAACAATTTTCTTGAATAAAAATGTTCACAAATTCTAAAAAAATTTGTGAACTTGAAAAATACATTGGTGGTTAAAAAATATTAGCAAATTGAAAAATAATTGGAAATCTGATTTGGTTTCCGGGAGCACTTGCTCCTGCGCTCGAAAAATACTTTTTGAAATACTAGGAAAAACCCAACATTTTTTATGTATTTATAATCACATCCGAATGCTGCCTGCAAAGTTTTAGGCAAAAAGGCTAAACATTTTGGCTTGTGCAAAAAAAATGAGCACCAAATGTTACCCCAAAATGTCACCCCAAATTTGATTTTTTATCGATGAAACACTACTGTTTCGTTTCACATGAAAATTATCTAGCATGCATGTGACATTAACACGAACATTCAGAAAAAAAGACAGAATTTCTTGAATAAATTACCACTTTTTTTGCGGTATTGTTCATCCCGGAGCAAATGCTCCCGGGAGCCAAAATGCCCCTCTAAAAAATATCCATGAATTTAGAAAAAGACTGATTGGGTAAAAAGGTTCATCAATTTTAAAAAAATGTTTGTGAATTTGAAAGATGTTCATGGATTCAAAAAAAGATCATGATTGAAGGAAATGTTACGCATTTAATAAAAAACTGCGAAACAAAAATAGAAAATGAAAATAAAAAAGGACAAGAAAATGAAAATCCAGAAGGAAGAAAAATGGTTCGCAAAGGTTCTAGAACATTTCTGAAACCGGAATGTGGAATCTTCCGAAATTGTCTAGTTGGGTCGGCCCCAATATATGTGCATAGCTATCACAAGGGGATGTGTTTGCTCGCTAATCATCGACCTGTGGAGTAAATAGGATTCCCCGTTAAACATGGTATATCTGACAAGTGGACGATGGTAAAAAAGAAAATTAACATTGGAACAAATGTATGGATTCATAACTCTTCTCCGAGGAATGTTGTAACATGTAGCGTGGAACACTTGCTCTCCAAGGTGAGTGATCTCATTGATCTTTCTACCGGACACTAGAATGAAACACGTTTTGACATGTTGACTCAAGGGAAATCGTTGCCATTTTTTTATTGCAACAAGAGATTTTTTTTTAGAAAAAAAAGACCCCCGGCCTCTGCTTCCGGATGAGGCCGCTGCAGCTACCTACCACCAATCCATCTTTAGTGTTGTACTGCTGCATCTACCTTGCCCGGTCTAGCTGCCGTCGACACCACCACGACGCCAGACAACGCCATCATCCTGCGCTCGTCCATCATCACACGTCCACCGACGAGACCCCGCTACTCCATGCTACTGAGACCCGCCATTGTCGACGTGCCAGATGCCACGCCACTCCTCCGACGCGAAACACCACCTGTTGCCACTGGTCCCATCCTCTCCGCCTGCACTTCCTCAATCCGAGCACCCAAATGCCCCAGGCGGCGCCTTCAAGAAGGGTACAACACACAGTGCCGCCGCCGCCCAATCTAAGGAGATTTAGGGTTTTCACCCGGGCATGGGGTCGGGGTGGAGGGCAGGGACCTCGACAACGCCTGCAAGGAGGAGAACGGTGACCCTGATCATCGCCACCGTCGGGACGAACGAGTCATCCAGAGTTTCCTCCGGTCTGATGTCACCTCTACCAGCCCCCGCGGACGCACCGAGGCCGACGACCACGATCGTAAGCCACCAAGTGCAGCGGGAGAGAGCCTGCAGTGCGAAGGAGATCCACCGGCGACTCACCGCCTACGCGGTCAAGACGTCGTCCATCCACCCCGCGCGAACATCGCCAGCCGAGGGCGCCGTCGCCATGCCTAACGGGGCTGCCGCCCCTGGTCCAGGTTCCTCTACGAAGGCCGGAGTGGCGAGATCCGGCACCGCACAACCACCGCCATCGCCCAAGCCCGCCGTCGACCGATCCCGCTGCCGGGAGCCCGCACGCTGCCGGGAGTCTTGCACCCATGGATCTGGGCACCCGTGCACCGCGGTGAGTCCGCCGCCTCCAGGATCCGCCACACCGTCAGGAAGGCCGCACCCGGCGGATTAGGACGCCCGCGCCGCCGCGGATCCGAAAACGAGAGGAGAGACCCTCCGCCACCGCCGTCGCATGCACGGGCTTTGCCCCGCGCCGACCATCGGCAGCGGCGGAGGGGGAAAAGGGCGCTGGAGGGACTAGGCGGCGGCGGCGGCTGAGCCCTCCCGAGTCATCCGCGGGGGAGGCGACACGAGAGGGACGTGGGGGAGCAACCAGATGGTGGTCGCCCTGGTGCAGAATGGGTGTTTGTCGGTGCGACCATCATATTACTCCATCAGGGATTAGCAACATGGACGAAAAACCGAGGCATGATGATGGAATGGACGAGGCTCCTCTGACGTACTGCAGGGTGCAGTTGGGCCACTGACAGATGGGCCCGAAAGCAAGTTGGCCCACCTGTCAGTGACCCAACTGCACCCTGCAGTACGTCAGGGGAGCCGAGTCCTGATGGAATGGGCTCGACCTGTGCTCACCCCTTCCATGTTGTGTGGTCTCGGCTAATAGACATACCAAAGTGCCCCGTCCCGCGTCGAACATGTAATCAAGGGCCTGAAGATGCAAAGCACTTCCTTTTAGAGTCAGGAAGCAAGGGGTTGCAAGGTACGGTGATGGGCGATATTGATAATGCGGGTGAAGCTGCCATTGAACAAATTGTCGAATATTCCTGCACACGAGGTGGCGGTAACTAACAGGAAACAATGGGGCTTTACGCTTGGTATATCCGATGAAACGACCCTCGATGATTTCTACTATACGACCCGTGGAATTACTCAAACTCGTTTCAAGCATTGTCCCATAGAAGCTATTTGTTGTTGCCCATGAGTTGCCTAGGTGGCTATGGGCTCGTTTTGTTCTGAGTGATGGAAGATGTACCCCAAAATCTATAGCTCTTCTTCTTAAACATGTACTAACTCTTATCACAAGTTAATGAACAAGGGATTTAATTTTAAAAAAGAGAGAGAACATAGTACTCCCTCTGGTCCTTTTTACTCCGCACATTAGCTTTGTCTGAAGTCAAAGTTTGCTAAGTTTAACCAAATTTATATTAGAAAATATTAACATCTATAACATCTAATAAATATAATATAAAAATATATTCCTAGATGGATCTAATAATAAATATGTTGTTATATGAATGTTAATAATTTTTTGTATAAACTTGATCAAAGTTGAATGAGATTGACTTTAGACAAACCTAATATGCAGAGTAAGAAGGACAGAAGGGAGTACTAATAATAATGTACTCCACTACCACCATTAGAACCGGATGATTAGACTGCGGACCAAAGATGCTTCTTCATTGTTGCACGCTCGCCCAGCTTTTAACAATAGCGGTGGCGTCTACTGTTTAACACATCTCGCGAGTACGGGATGTAAATTTCCTCCTCCTTTTCCAGGGTCGCGTGTTGGGAAAAGATGCGGCGTGCTTTAATGATTTGTGTTGACCTTTAAACTAAGCCCTCACCGATCCCGGTAAACGACCCCCATCATCGTGCTTAAGCACAAAAGAAAACCCTTTTTTAACAGCGAATGACCCTTTTGCCCTTCAATAGCTTCAGCCTCACGGCGCAAATCCTCAGAACTTGTACATTTCTTTCTGTTCAGAACTCCTCACTTCCTGTAATTCTACAGCGCTCGCCTTTCCTCTGGCGTACAAAATTAGTACTGTACTACTGTACTTCGGCAAAAAGAAACCTTGGGCTCCAGAATATATTCCTAAGCAAGGGATGTATGATCATTTTTAAGAAAAATTCACGCGTAATCTCTGCATAATCATACTCCATACTATTACAAAACTGTCCGTCAGGAATACAAAACCATGGGCTGTAACATGAAAATAAAGGAGAGTATAGTTTGACAGTACATTAGTAATACATGCCACTAACGATTACAAATTCCCTCCGACAAAAAAAAACAGTTACAAATTCAGATAGATATGTAATAGTCGTACAAAGTTAAGCGGAACAATCCCCAAGGTGTACTTGCACTAGCAAAAAATAAGGTGACGCAAAAAAAAGAAACGTAGAAAAATAAGGAGAAATAATAAACAAATACCTCAAACCTCACATCACTCCTCCCCTCCCCTCCCCCCCGCCAAATTTCGTAAAATTCAAATGGGATATTTTTTTACAGCAACCGTCGGTTGTGATCTCTACTACCGCCGCGTCCCAGGTGAAAAGTAAAGTGGCTTTGGTTCGCTTTCGCAATGTGCCCCCTGGGAGTTTGCGTCGTCACTAGAAGGTCCACTTCCAGATCTTGACTCGGATCCTGACCTGGCACACGCGCGCGACGGTGGTCGCCGCCGGGGGCGAGGTTGTCGCGTCGTCGACGGCCGCGGACGGCTCCGGGGCCTCCACGGCGGCCGGCGCCTTCGACGGCGCCTTGGCGACGGTGAGCTTCACCCCCTTCTTCTTCGCCGGCGCGGGCGCCGCGGCGGGCGCGGCCACCTTGATGCCGTCGCAGTGCACCTGGATGCCGATCTTCTTGGTCTTGAGCCCGCCCACCTTGACGCCGGCCTTGGTCTCCAGGTCGAGGGTGATGGCGAAGGTGCCCGACTTCTTGATGTCGGAGCTGGCGGCGGTGGGGTCGACCCCGAGCGCGGCCGCGGTGACGGTGGCCTTGATGACGGTGATGTTGTTGGCCTCGTGCAGGAACCCCGGCACGGTCGCCTCCCCGAGCGGCACGGCGTTGGCGGCCGTGGCGGCGGTGACGGTGAAGTCGTCGTACAGGTAGACGAGCTTCTTGTTGGGGTTCTTGGCGGTGAGCGTGAAGTCGATGGAGTCGGTGAGCGCGGGCGCCGTGGCGGAGCTGGAGAGGCTGAGCTTGTTGACGCGCGCCACGGAGAGGGTGAAGGCCGGGCGGTGGGGGCGGTAGAGGAGGTAGAAGCCGCCGCCGGCGATGGCGGCGACGAGGGCCAGGAGGAGCACGACGAGCACGGCCCAGAAGAAGCAGCAGCAGCAGCTGAAGCGGCAGGAGGAGCGGCCCCCGCGGCGGCCCTTTGCGGGGCCCTGCGGGCGGTAGATGGGGCGCTGGTACATCTTGGGCGGCCCGCCCGCGCCCGCGCCGTTGGTGGCCGCGGCGGCGGCGGCGGGGGGCTGCGGGTTGGGCTTGCCGTTGGAAGACATTGCCGCGCGCTAGCCGGGGACGAGGTGGCGGCTCTTGGCGCGGCGCGGCGGTAGCTAGGTGCCTGGACTGGGTTTCCGGCCGTGCGCTTGCTGAGCGAGTCCTCGGAGAGAGAGGAGATCTATAGGCCGAGAGGAAGGAAGACGCGGAGGAGAAGGTGAGGTGAGGTAAGGGAAAAGGGACGGGTCACCTTACGGATGGTTCGTCCTCACCAAATCATTTGCTACCGCTGCTGGCTGCTGCTGCTGAGCTAGCTGATGCCTGCTGCTACCTTTCCTTAGCCTTTTTTATTAAGCAAGTCGCCCCCGTAATTCTCGCTCGTGCCAAGTTGGGTTTTCTCCCGGGAAAATCATTTGGATGGCAGTTTAAACTTGTATTTACACACAAAAAATTCAAAAACTTCCATTTCACGTACTACTGTACAAAAGTTTTTAAATGTTTTTAAATGAGCTGCAAACTGAGCCTTGTACTGGCACGAACTGCTGAATTACTCCTTGCCCCGTAGCAGTGGTGGAGTACTAACGTTTGTAGTGATGGCTACCTTAATTTGTCCCTCTAAAACTTATGTACAACGGGGTAGGAGTAATTGTGTTTCAGCGAGCCAATACCTTGAGCCGGAGCTGCGATTCCCTGCTCAAAATTTACTAGCAAAGCGTCAGAGATTTAATAACAAGCTCATTTTGTTGTAATTAAGTGCATCTGATCATTATTTTTGAACGAACGGTGGCAGTAGCATTTGTGAACATTGGGACCGGCCGGGGCTGTGTTACACTTTTATGCTGCTGCTTCATTGAAGACATGTGATCCGGGCTTGGCCTGGGCAGGAGTCGGTCTTGGATCCAACTCTCAACTGCAAGTTGATTTTATTTTATGAGAGAGGTGTATTATTGTTTGAATATAGTTAAGAGCATATCTAGCCCTTGCCCAAAAAGCTATAATTCCCTAAGGCCCTCCCAATGCTCCACCGTGAACAGGTGCTAAGCATTGCCACATAAGTGAAAAAATGACATGGCACTACATTTAAAGAGGAGAGAGAATACTTTGGTGATCCCAGGAAAAACCAATGCTAGGCGCAAAAACCTAGGCAAACCACTTAAATGAAACAATTTGACCAATACATGAAAGACTTTAGGTGCTAACTCATTAAATAATGTGTGCTTAGTAACAACAAGCTAAGCACCTATGCATTGGGGTGTTGAGTTGCTAAGGTATTTAATGCACTTAGCACCTCATCTAAGCACCTTTGCATTGGAAGAGGTCTAATAGAAAATCGGTTTGAGGATGTCTAGAACACATCTAGATGTACTCTAGTTATTACACATCTAATTGACTCAATCAAGCATAAAAAAAGAACCCACATTAATCTTCGCGTAAGATCAATGACATTGAACTTAGATGTGCAATACTTATGGCACATCTAGATGTGCTTTAGCGAAACTGGAGCAATTAAGCTTCACCTAGCACTTTCCCAAAACCTTTAATCCATCAAAAATTTGAGCGGAACCTATTCAAATCCACCTCTCCTACTAAAATATAGCCGGACATCGCCAACTCCTAATAAATCATCTCTCCCTTTCTCACGCACACGAGCTGTGTCTCCTTACGCTGCCTACATCATTGTTGCCCCCAACTCACCGCCGCCCATGTCCCGCAATCCCGCCTCCCTCCCCCACCGTCTCTGGTGAGAATCCGCCAGGTTCTCATCGTGCCCGGCCATGGCCAAGTTCCTTTCTGTCATTCCCGGCCACAGGTAGAGCAAAGTGTGCCTACATCACATACCTGTAAGCACTTACCCAGAAACATGGATGTTGCCCGCCGTCATCGTTTTCGATGAATCGTAGTGTCTTGGACCACACCATCATGCCACTAGGAGAACTAAGAAGAGAAGAACTCATCCAGAAAAAGAAGTGCCCAAATGTGGGCCGTGATGGAGGAATTTCATCGACTTTCTCAGATCCTACCTTGCACGCGTACGTCGTACGTGGTCAGCGTCTATCACACTATTTTTGTAGTTCATCTACCATAGTCCCTAGTTAGCTCATGGACATCATCCATCGACAAAAATTCGTCGTTGGTCACGTGGATGGAAGAAGGAAGAATAATATGAAGAGTGAGACTTTCATGTGGGGCTGGAGCTCGTTTGAGGAGTTGAGTTTTAGGGTAAGGGCTACATGCTAAAAAGTCCCCCCCCTCCCCCCCCCAACATTGGGGAACTAGATAACGCCCCGCACGTTGCTGCAGGAACCTTGCTAAAAGAAATGCATAAACGTTCGGCCTCTACGTGTAACGCCCTCGATGCGGCTATATATCCTACGTGTCGAAGCATGACTTAGAGGCATAACCGCATTGAAAGCAATGTCGCAAGTGAGGTAATTTTCACAACAACCCATGTAAATAAATAAAAGGGAAAAGTACATAGTTGACTTACACTCGCCACGTCACACAAATACATAAATAAGCATTACATTCACCCAAGACACTCAGAGTCTGACTACGGTACCAAAATAAAGATCAACCCCCAAATGCGACAAAGTCCCCGATCGTCCCAACTGGGCACCACTACTGATCATCTGGGAAAGACACGTAGAGTCTTCATCGAACTCCCACTTGAGCTCGGTCATATCATCTGGAACGGTATTATCGGTCCCTGCATCTGGTTTTGGAAGTAAACTGTGAGTCACGTGGACTCAGCAATCTCGCACCCTCGCAATCCAGACTATTTAAGCTTATAGGTAAGGTAAGGTATGATGTGGAGCTGCAGCAAGCGACTAGCATATATGGTGGCTAACATATTCGCAAAAGAGAGCGAGAAGAGAAGGCAAAAAGCACGGTCGAACAACTATGATTAAGAAGTGATCCTAGAACAACCTACGTCAAGCATTACTCCAACACCGTGTTCACTTCCCGGACTCCGCCGAGAAGAGACCATCACGGTAACACACGCGGTTGGTGCATTTTAATTACGTTAAGTTTCAGGTTATCTACAACCGGACATTAACAAATTCCCATCTACCCATAACCGCGGGCACAACTTTCGAAAGTTCAAATCCCTGCAGGGGAGTTCCAACTTAGCCCATCACAAGCTCTCACGGTCAACGACGGATATTCCTTCTCCCAAGACAATCCGATCAGACTCGGCATCCCGGTTACAAGACATCCTCGACAATGATAAAATAAGTCTAGCAACACCGCCCGAATGTGCCGACAAATCCCAGTAGGAGCTGCACATATCTCGTTCTCAGGGCACACTCAGATGAACACTACGTACAACTAAAATCAACCCTCAAGTTTCCCCGAGGTGGCGCTGCAAGTGGCTCTGTTTGTACCAACACTCAGAGGAGCACTGGCCCAGGGGGGTTTAAATAAAGATGACCCTTGGGTTCCAGAAACCCAAGGAAAAAAGAGGCTAGGTGGCAAATGGTAAAACCAAGGTTGGGCATTGCTGAAGGAGTTTTATTCAAGGCGAACTGTCAAGGGGTTCCCATTATAACCCAACCGTGTAAGGAACGCAAAATCCGGGAACATAACACCGATATGACGGAAACTAGGGCGGCAAGAGTGGAACAAAACACTAGGCATAAGGCCGAGCCTTCCACCCTTTACCAAGTATATAGGTGCATTAAGATAAACAAGATAATATTGTGATATACCAACAATAAACATGTTCCAACAAGGAACGATCTCCAATCTTCACCTGCAACTAGCAACGCTATAAGAGGGGCTGAGCAAAGAGGTAACATAGCCAAACAACGGTTTGCTAAGATAAGGAGGGTTAGAGGTTTGGCATGACAATGTGGGAGGCATGATAAGCAAGTGGTAGGTATCGTAGCATAGGCATAGCAAAAGAGCGAGCATCTAGCAACCAAAGATAGAAGTGATTTCGAGGGTATGGTCATCTTGCCTGCAAAATTCTCAGAGTTGCCTTGATCCTCGTAGGCATACTCAACGGGCTCCTCGTTCACGAACTCGTCTCCCGGCTCTACCCAAGCAAGAACAACAAGCAAAAGGAACACAATCAACCACGTGCAATGCTCAAGCAACATGATGCAAACATGGTATGATATGCGGGATGCAATATGTGATGCATATGCAAGATTTGGAAAGGAAAGAATGAACCTGGCCTCAACTTGGAAATCCAAGAGTGCCACTGGAAAGGTGAGATGGTTTCGGTTGAAATCGATATAAAGATCACCGGAATCGGATGCACGGTTTGAAAATGGCAAGCAAAACAAATATGACAGCGGTCTGCGATAAACATCAAGTAGCCATCTAAATGCATCAAGATAAATATGCTACAATACTCAAACATGACAACAAAATACATGACAGGGATCCACTCATGATGCTTGACAAAAGGTGAACAATGAGCTACGGCTAATTCATCCATTAACAGGTTCAAACAAGCATGGCAAAAGTGCAAAAGATAATAGGTTTCAGACTTAGTGAAATTAACACAAGTCAGGAATTTATTACCAGGAAGCAATCTTTAGAGCACGAAAACTGCATGCTACAGGAACATATCATGTTAAAGAAAGGCATGGAATGAATATACTCTAAGCATATAACAAAAGTCACTTAGTGACCTTGAGCCAAAAGGGATCATATTGCAAGTATGTGAACATAGCAAAAACACAAACAGGTTCAGACTTAGTGAAAAACTGGAGCATGCAAAATAGATTAACACGTAGGCATGTTTACGAGCTCGATGCACTCACTACAGAGCATGGCATGACAAACTAACCATACACCCATCAAGAAGACATGGCATAGAAGCTATACATGGCAAGAACAACAACATAGCATGCCCGAATCAACAACAACAAGCTCGGCAAAATCGCTAAACATGTCAACAATCTGCCAGGAACATTTTATAGTAAAAGTAGAGCTCGATTGACTCAAGCTAGGATGCTCCATAAATGCAAAAAAGACATGCATGGATAGAGCACCACAATATTAACAAAACATCCTTACTGATCATCCTCAAAAGAGGCACGGATCACTA